AGTGCAGATTCCAGGTCTTGACCCTGTGCCAGCACTCTGTGAAAGTAAATTAACTTCCTGGGATCTTGATAGCCTCACAGGATAAATGTAATTAGACTACATTTTGGCTTTTATTTGTTTTTTCCCTACTGATCTGGGGCCTGCTGTGAACCAGGTGCTCTGTTGGGGGCTCTGGTACACAGGATCTCATTTAATCCTCCCCATAGCCTTGGGATGACCTCTAACATCTCCTCCACCCTAGGCCTCTGTAATCGCTGTCCAGGGCCCAGAGCAGCTGCTTTCGTATTTTACTTATGCTGTCATTCTGCTTGGCTGGAAACAAAAACGAATGAGCCATGATATTTTCATGTTCCAAAAATGAGTTTTGGAGAGTACAAATTTTCCCAGGCTTGGAAATGCCGAAGTAGGCACAATGAGTTTTGAATCCCTGTTTGCTGATACTTGCCAGTACTATGGGCTGTGGATTTGATGATTGCCTAACACAGTATCTGTGTCTTTGTCTCTTTTCCTCATGCAGTACTTTGCCCATGATAGGAACTCAAATCATATTTTATGGAGGAAGCTATTTGATTTATTTTAACTTTGTAATTTGTGAATCTTGTGTTTTTTTTAATTTATTTTTTATTGGTGTTCAATTTGCCAACATATAGAATAACACCCAGTGCTCATCCCATCAAGTGCCCCCCTCAGTGCCCGTCACCCAGTCACCCCCTCCCGCCGGCAGGATACAAAATCAATGCCCAGAAGTCAGTGGCATTTCTATACACTAGCAATGAGACTGAAGAAAGAAAAATTAAGGAGTCAATCCCATTTACAATTGCACCCAAAAGCATAAGATACCTAGGAATAAACCTAACCAAAGAGGTAAAGGATCTATACCCTAAAAACTATAGAACACTTCTGAAAGAAATTGAGGAAGACACAAAGAGATGTAAAAATATTCCATGCTCATGGATTGGCAGAATTAATATTGCGAAAATGTCAATGTTACCCAGGGCAATTTACACGTTTAATGCAATCCCTATCAAAATACCATGGACTTTCTTCAGAGAGTTGGAACAAATAATCTTAAGATTTGTGTGGAGTCAGAAAAGACCCCAAATAGCCAGGGGAATTTTAAAAAAGAAAACCATAGCTGGGGGCATCACAGCCAGATTTCAGGTTGTACTACAAAGCTGTGGTCATCAAGACAGTGTGGTACTGGGACAAAAACAGACACATAGATCAATGGAACAGAATAGAGAACCCAGAAGTGGACCCTCAACTTTATGGTCAACTAATATTCGATAAAGGAGGAAAGACTGTCCACTGGAAGAAAGACAGTCTCTTCAATAAATGGTGCTGGGAAAATTGGACATCCACATGCAGAAGAATGAAACTAGACCACTCTCTTGCACCATACACAAAGATAAACTCAAAATGGATGAAAGATCTAAATGTCAGACAAGATTCCACCAAAATCCTAGAGGAGAACACAGGCAACACCCTTTTTGAACTTGGCCACAGTAACTTCTTGCAAGATGCATCCACGAAGGCAAAAGAAACAAAAGCAAAAATGAATTATTGGGACTTCATCAAGATAAGAAGCTTTTGCACAGCAAAAGAAACAGTCAACAAAACTAAAAGACAACTACAGAATGGGAGAAGATATTTGCAAATGACGTATCAGATAAAGGGCTAGTATCCAAGATCTATGAATCTTGTGTTTGAATGAACTATCATTCTTAGGTACTAGTTTTGGATATTTTATCATTTTATTTCTTAAGTTTAACCTAGCTCCTATTTGTGGATCTCCTGAGATACAACTTATTTATAATGTTTATAATTTATTTCTAAAATTAGAGAAATGAGAATGTTACAATGTTGCTAGAATTAAATGAAGTAATATGTGAGAAAGTTATTTTTAATATATTAAAGAATCATCCAACTGTTATCATTGTTGTTATATATCCAAATTAGGGCTTTTCTTCAAAGTAATCTCTTTGGGGATGCCTGGGTGGCTCAGTTGGTTAAGCATCTGCCTTTGGCTCAGGTCATGATCCCAGGGTCCTGGGATAGAGCCCTACATCATGCTACCTCCTTAGTGGGGAGTCTGCTTCTCCCTCTCCCTCTATGTTCTCTCTTCCTCTCTCTCAAATAAATAAATAAAATCCTAAAACAATAACAACAAAAGCACAAAGTAATCTCTTTCGAAAAATACACACTTATTCTTTGATTATATTATATATTATGTATGTGTGTATGTATATTATGTATATATACAATATAAATAAGATATACGTGTATATTATATGTAGTACACATAATATATATAATACAAATATATAATATATATCATACATTATGCATATGTATGATGTATATGAGGTATATGCATACAATATAAGTACTATATGTTATATATAGTATATATATTATATATATCATATACATGTATATATAATCCCAATGCTTTTAAATCAGATTTTATTTTTAATAACTACTTAACTATGGGGGAGGCTGACAAATTACCTAATAATGGTTCAAGAAAAACTTTAATAAATAGGAGAAGAGCAGAATTTTTTTCCTCCAGGTGACCAGTTAAGTAGCTGTTCTAGTCACAGCCTTCCAACATAACCATTCTTTCTCTTTCATTCTCATCTCTACCTTTGCATAACATTACAGGGAGTGGAGTCTCAGTACAGGTTCATACCAGCACACGAGAGCCAATCACTACATTTTCAGAAATTTGTGAGCTAGTTTTTAAAGTAGCTATTTTTTAAAAACTATACCTACTTAAAAATATGAATCAATCATATTAAAATGAAAAGTAATGCTCAAAACTCATCACATCCTCATCGTTTACTACATTTTACAATTATCCATGCACTTGAAGTTATTTTACCCACATGGTGGAAGTATTCTATAATGGTGTGCTACTGCCTTTCCCATTTCCAGTTCAGTGACATCACATTGGTAACTTGAAAGTAGCCATAGTGAAAGTATCTAGAGAGTGAAACTAGGCAATTATTTTTTTTATCAATTGTCTAGACTTAAAAGGCAATGGAGAAATATTAACAATGCAGATTTAACCTTCAAAGGATTGTGTCTAGAGTCAATACAAAAAATTGTGAGTGGCACGAAAATTTGAGGAAATATTTTTCCAGGATTCAAAAGCTAATATCCAACTCAGGAAAGAAGCCACTCATGTCACTGATGAACCTACGAAGTTCTGACATATATCTCTGAATGGGTCAACCCTCACATCATAACTACATTCGGTCCTTGGGTGAAACCAGAAGTTGGTTCTGAATACAAGATTTTATTTAGCAAAAGTCAACAAAAGCATTTGGGAACAGTTAACTATCAAGAATTTATAATAAGGAGTACATTACATATATTTTAATAGACTCCCTTCTTTAGAGAAGTTTTAGGTTCACACCAAAGTTGAGCAGAAAGTACAGAGAGTTCCCACAAATCCCCACTGTCACACATATACAGCCTCTTCCACTATCCATATATCACACCACAATGTATATTTGTTACAGTTCATGAACCTACATTGACACATTATTATCCACCAGGATTCATAGTTACATTAAGTTATACTCTTGGTGTTTTACCTTCTTTGACTTTGATAAATGTGTAATGATATGGATCCATCAATACAAAATCATACAGAATAGTTTCACTCCCTTAAAATTCTTCCATGCTCTACTTCTTCATCCCTGCCCCTATCTGAACACTGATCTTTTTAATGTCTCCATAGTTCTGCCTTTTCCAGAATACCATATAGTTGGAATCATACAATATGTGGCCTTTCAGATTGACCTTTTTCACTTGGCAATGTACATTTAATTTTTTTCCATGTCTTTTCATGGCTTGATAGCTCATTTCTTTATAGCATTGAATAATATTCCATTGTCTGGACAGTTTATTTATTTACTCACCTGTTAGAGATTATCTTGATTGCTTCTGAGTTTTATCAATTATGAATAAAACTGATGCAAATGTCTGTGTGCAAGTTTTTTTGTGTAGGTTTTTTGTATACATTTTTTAATATTTGGAAATTGTATTGTACACATTCTTTATATCAATAAAATGTATTGTAAATTTATGTACCAATATATACTTAAATTTGGCTTTCCATTCTTAAACATTTACCAGAACACCACTGCTTAAAAGTCATGGTAAATCCTTTGGCTTTTACTATGAGTAAAATGGGAACCCACTGAAAGATCTTGAGCAGAGGAGTGGCTGGCATTTTTAAAGGTTCACTCTAATTGTATTGAGTAGAGACTTCGGTAGAATAGAAGCAAGGAGCTAGGTTAGGAGGCGATTACCTCCAGGTGAGAGAGGATGGTAAGAGAGGAGGTGATTACTTCCAGGTTCAAAAGCGAAGGGTGAAGACTTCTAGTCTGATCCAATCTAGGTGAGATTCGTAGTACATCTCTGTCCCTTAGATCCATTTCCCTGGGCTAACTTGTGTCGGAGGCAATGGAGGGCAGGCTTTACCTAGCTCCCCTCTTTCCTGCTCCGGGTAGGAGCAAACTGAGAAATAAGACAGCAGTCCACCATTAGGAAGCAAAATAAAACCCTTACTGTTGGGATGCCCAGTTGGCTCAGTTGGTAGAGAATGTGATCCTTGATATCAGGATGGTAAGTGTGAGACCCATGTTGAATGTAGAGATTACCTAAAAATAAAATCTTTATAAAAAATACCTTTATTGTCAAAACAATTTGGGTTGAAGGATGTAGTTTAGCATGAGAACAAAAATGGGCATATTAACTACCTTTCCTCTGATCTAGGCCTCGGAACATGAGAGAAAGTTCACAGAGTGAATACTTACACAGAATGGAAAGAGAGGAAAAAGCACCCAAGCTTATTTCTTTTTCTTTTTTCTCTTCTCTCCCTGAATCTAGAACACACGGATTCTACAGTATCAAACACCGAACTATAGGAGATTTTTGGCTTTGATTTCTTTTCTTTTTTTTTTCTCATTAGAATTTTCCTTTTTTAGGTGATTTTGCACCCAGAATTTCTATCTTCCACCAGCCCATTATTACCCATGGATTATGAAGAGTTTGTCCGAGGTTGTCATCTTGGTGTATTTCCATCATACTATGAACCGTGGGGTTATACTCCAGGTATGTGGCACATATAGATTGTGGAATATTTAAAAATTTATTAATCTATTATTTTATGCACCTGGATATAATATCCAAAGCTGATACGTAATTTCCACTAAGGTTAAATGATTGTATTACAAAGAAAAAGAATGTGTTGTAAATGTTACATGTTATTGAGTCATCTCTACCAGGCCCAACTAGTAATATTAAGGACAGACTGAGTGCAAGCAGGTTTAATATGAGAAATGATATCCTGCAAAAGTGTTCTTTCAAACTTATTTTGGAAATGTTTCCTTTTGAATTAATGGATGCATTTAATTTTTAATAGGTAGCACATTCACTTAAAGAAACAAATAGTATAAGATGGTATACAATGAAAAGCCTTCCTCACACCCTTGTCATTCAAGAAAGAGGTGCTTTTACATGCCATTTCGGTGTTAGGTATTATGACCAGTGACATCATTCCGTTCAGATCCTCCACCTCTTCATCTGCCTTTTTTTTTTTTTCTCCTAAATGGTCAATTCTCAAATGCACTACCCATTTTTCTTTTTTGTCTCCTAATAGCACTGTTGTCATTAGTATCAAGAGCAATCAATTTGTATTTGTACTGAAATGGCTAATGAAAAAGGAAACAAATAATACAAAGAAATGCCAATGGAAAGAATACTGACTTTTCCTGCTCATGTTAGTAGTCAGAGATTTTCCTTTTTGTTTAAATATAATTTCATTTATAATGTTAAAAGAAAAGGTTCAGAAAAATTTGTATGCATAATTAATAAATTTTGCTTGATTTCAATGTCATCATTGCCCAGCTAAGGGGTGGCAGCAGTCAACGTTAGGGAGATCATGGTTGAATTAAAGAAGAGGAAGAATTTTTCTAATCTTTGTATTTTGAGCCCAGAATTTCAATATAGAATTTTAAATTTTATAGAAATAGGATCTTTACATAGGGAGCAACATGAAATCTCTGTATCTTTTGACATAAAGGTCCTATTCTATCATTCTAGGTTCCACCAAGTATAATTTGCCAGCAGCTATAAAAATACTAAAACTTTTGGGGAAAATAGATAAAGGATTATCTCCTCTTAAAACATGACATAAGAAAAACTATTGAACTAACTCTTCCAACTTTCTCTTTTGTAGTCCTAAAAATTGTTACAGGTATCAGTTATCATACTTATAAAGATGGTGTCTTTTTCCTTATGAAATACCTACATATTATCTTAAATTGTTTATAATAGAGTATCTTTCTTTTAAGATACATAAAATGTACCCATTTCACTGATGAACTTAGTATTTTGTTATTGACTTTTGTTCCCATTATTTCTAGTAAGTAACATAACTTATTATCAAGGAAGTTTCAAAAATAGAGAAGCACAAAACCAAAGCCTGAGTGACTGAGGGATGTGGGGAATCAATTATATTGGGGAAAGAGAATGTTCTATAATTTACAGCAGATTTTCCACCAAATGTCATTTTTATAGGACAAAGATAGACTTAGCCCAAAATGATAAGGAGATACATCTAGCGTTTTAAGATAAAGACCAGCAAAAGTGTTATAAAAGGTAAGTAGATGGAAAAAGAAGTTTGAGAGTGAGTCATTCTCTGTTTTGAATTAACCACAGGAAGCTGGCCACTCCTCACCAAACCTGTAGTTACAGAAATAACAAGACCTCTGGTGGTATAAATTGGTATTGGTATATTAGATAATTCTAACTTTTTAAAGAATAACTTATTTGATACTAAGTTTAACATACTCCAGAAAGTATTCATTTAAGTCTGCTTTTTTTTTTTTTACAAAATCCAATGAATAGAAGTAGTTATTCCATTAAAATCATTCAATGAACATTTGCAGAGATTATGGGTATCTAGCATTTCATTACATGTCTGTTAATGAGTATTTGATAAAAATAAGGTTCTGTGAACTTCCGTGGAATTGTAGGCAAGATTCTTTATACATATATGTATAATAATTTTTCTGGGGAAGAGCTTCAGGTTTTCATTAGATTCTCAGATGGGTCAAGAATCCCTGTCCCATTTTCTCCTCCACCACCCTCTCCAAAAATTAGGAAACCACATCTCTCTAGAGATTGACCACCAGGCAATACTTGCAGAGCAGAAGAAAAAGCTGTCTAAATTGCAGTACTTCTTGATTAGTGGGGAAACCTTTTTTTTTTTTTTTGGCCCATCCCCATTAGCTAACCAAGATTTTTTTCATTTGTTTTTATTGAAGTTCGATTTTCCAAAATATAGTATAACACCCAGTGCTCGTCCCATCAAGTGCCCTCCTCAGTGCCTGTCACTAAGTTACCCTAACCCTCCCCCCCACACCTACCCTTCCACAACTCTTTGTTCATTTCCCAGAGTTGAGTCTCTCATGGTTTGTCTCCCTAATTTTTCACACTCATATCCCCTCCTTTCCCTTATAATCCCTTTCATTATTTCTTATATTCCCTGTATGAGTGAAACCACATGATGATTGTCCTTCTCCGATTGACTTACTTCACTCAGCATAATACCCTCCAGTTCCATCCACATCGAAGCAAATGGTGGGTATTCGTTGTTTCTAATAGCTGATTAATATTCCGTTGTATATATATATATATATATATATATATATATATATATATATATATATATATACCACATCTTCTTTATCCATTCATCTGTTGAAGGACATCGTGGCTCCTTCCTCAGTTTGGCTATTGTGGACATTGTTGCTATGATTGGGGCTCAGGTGTCCCAGCATTTCACTACATCTGTATCTTTGGGGTAAATAACCAGCAGTGCAATTTCTGGGTCATAGGGTAGCTCTATTTTTAACTTTTTGAGGAACCTCCACACTGTTTTCCAGGGTTAGCCAACCAAGATTAATTCCATAATCAAATATAAATTCCTTGTTAAAAATGCAGATATCCTTGTGAGAGGTAATACTTCTTTTTTAAAAAAGTATCCACTATTTTATAAAAATATTTTATTAAAACAGGTGTTGACTAGAGGGTGAGTGAAGACTGAAGAGGGTATGAGTACAATGGACAATTAGAGAAGTGGAGGGATTTGTGGCAAGGGAAACTAATATGATGGGAGGAGTTGCTCATGTCCAACACCCACAAACTCGTCACATACTTAGAGACACAGCTTAGAATGGAGCACAAAGAAAAACCAGCTGGAATGAAAGAGGTGGTATAGAGTAGCAGTATCAAACTGGAGCCCTGGAGCTGGGCACCAGACTTTAAGTCCCAATTCTACACCATTCCCTGGCTTTGTGATATTGGGCAAATTATTGGGCAAACTCTCTGTGCTTCAATTTCTTCATTTGTAAGATGGGGATAATGACACTTCACATGATTGTTGAGAAGATTAAATGAGTTAATACATGTAAAGGACTTCATACTGTGCCTGGTACATAATAAACATCGCTATTACTAGGCTGGCATAAGAGGATACAGGAGCTGGCCTAAAGCCAAGTCTTTGTCTCTTTTCCCCTGGCAGCTGAATGCACTGTGATGGGTATCCCCAGTGTGACAACCAACCTTTCCGGCTTTGGCTGTTTCATGCAGGAGCATGTGGCTGATCCTACTGCTTACGGTGAGGTTTTTCATCATTCGCCCAACTCAAGAAGTGACCTCTAGGGATCCCTGGGTGGCACAGCGGTTTGGCGCCTGCCTTTGGCCCGGGGCGCGATCCAGGAGACCCGGGATCGAATCCCACGTCGGGCTCCTGGTGCATGGAGCCTGCTTCTCCCTCTGCCTATGTCTCTGCCTCTCTCTCTCTCTCTGTGTGACTATCATAAATAAAAAAAATAAATAAATAAAAAATAAAAAAAAAGAAGTGACCTCTAGCCAAACAAAGCACAGTCTTTACCGAGCCTAACCCTAAAGCTATCCTGATGATTAAAGTAATGTTTGCACTGCTTATTTTATTAAAAGTAGATTTAATTATGTATTTCATAGAAAAGCTAAAAATTCTATTAATATTAAATATATTGATGTTCCAATAACTGTGACCTTAGAGTACGTAGGCTGGTCAGCATCATTATTTTAAAGGCCTGTGCCAGGGTAGCAAAATTCACTTAAATTGTTTAAGACTGCAGAAGAATTTGCCTACAACCCTACCCTCTCTGTGTCTGCAAGAAAAACAAGATGGGATGGATTGTTGGCCTATATATGCTGATTTCCTGGTCTTCTATGGCCTCCTTGTCACGGTTCTTTTCTCTCAGTCTAGAGCTGTGGTTCTCAGCTGCGGCTGTGTGGTGGGCCTGGGGATCCTGAAAATCATTGATTCCCAGCTTTCACCCCAGAGATTCTGGTAATGAGCAGTCCCAGGGAAAATCACTGACCCAGGGTATCCCTCTACTGCCAAGTTTTTTTCAACAAGATTCATTGTGTTGGCTTTGTGTTGGTGACAGTTGTAAAACATTAGAAGGAGATCACAGAAGAAAGACAGCCATGGAAGGGAAAAGATAACACAGAGGCAACAGGGGAGTCAGGGAGTGGGTAATGCCTGTGTGGGTGGTCTATGATGGAACCTAAGGAATGGGAGAAGAAACATTCTAAGGTTAACCCTATGTTGACCTGGGCTTTGGTTTTTGTGCTGCTCAGGTATTTACATTGTTGATAGGCGGTTCCGCTCTCCGGATGATTCCTGCAATCAGCTGACTCAGTTTCTGTATGGATTTTGCAAACAGTCACGCCGCCAAAGAATTATTCAGAGAAACCGAACTGAGAGGCTCTCCGATCTTCTGGATTGGAGATATTTGGGCAGAGTAAGTTAAGTTCGGGATCAAAAGAACCACTTTGAAAATCCCACTAGACTGGGGCACCTGGGTGGCTCAGATGGTTGGGCATCTGATGGTTGGTCTCAGCTCAGGTTGATCTTGGGGTCGTGAGTTTAAGCCCTGCCTTGGGATCTGTGGAGCCTACTTAAAAATAAAGCAAAAGAAAAGGAAAATCTCACTGGACTATAACAATATAGATTCTAGTCATCAGCTGCAAAGTCAATTCAGTATCATAATTGTTAAAATCTCAAGTGATGTTTTCATGTACTTTTTTACTTAATATGAGCTTGCAAAATCCTAACCCCACACCTACATATTTATTAGTTTGAGTTTATAAGAGCAAATCTATTGGGATCTAGCTGTAATCTTACTAGTTATTTTATTGTCAGCATTTAACTTGACATATTTCAGGTATTGGTTCATGAGTAAGAGGAAAATATCTAAAGAAACATATCTATTTTGTTTGACTCTACCCGATAATGTGACCATATTCCTTAAGTACAATAGGAGCAGGAATAATAATCTTTTTCAAATGATAAGTACAGGAAATATCTCCTTTTAATTATTTTTTTCTCTCCTTTCAATTATGCCATAGGTTTGTAAATATCCAGATGACATATATTATAACACTGGATGATTTAATAAAAAATAAATTGATTTTGTCTTGACATCACGTATGTGCTCAGATACCACTAAACCCTCTCTGACACATGATAGATGCTGCCTTTTGCCGAGTTTCTACACACACTAATGCCACTGCTCCTCAAAACCTGGGTGATTAATTGTACTGTCTATGTTTTACAGTGAAAGCAGAATGATAAGGTTTTTAGAAGTTTTGTTTCTTGGGTGCCTGAGTGGCTCAGTGGTTGAGCATCTGCCTTTGGCTCAGGTCGTGATCCTGGGGTCCTGGGATCAAGTCCTGCATCAGGCTCTCCTTATAGAGAGTCTGCTTCTCCCTTTGCCTATATCTCTGCCTCTCTCTGTGTCTCTTATGAGTAAATAAATAAAATCTTAAAAAAGAAAGAAATTTTGTTTCTTATCTAAGGTCTCAAACAGGACTTAGGTACAGTTTGTGTGATTTTTCAGGCCCCACCTCTGCCCTGTGTCATGCTGCTTCTCTATAGCATGAAGCCAATATTTTCAGTCCCCTCAGCACTCGATTCAGAGTTTTCAGTAAGGCCAGTATGGCTTTTCCTTCCAACTTTTTGTAGCATTTCTTTCCTTATTCACTGGAAAATAATAAAACTGTAAACTATCATTTTTTTCTGATTCTTAAATTTAGGGTTACTAGGTTCTGTCATTTTAAAACTATTGTTTTATAACTTGGAGAAGAAGATTTTATATAATAACTTCGTTCTTAAGTTATATAATTTTTTTAATCTGTGAATTGGGTTTTCTATCACAGTATTATCAGCATGCCAGGTACCTGACACTAAGCAGAGCTTTTCCAGATGAATTCCATATGGAGGCTCCATCACCACCAACAGTAAGCATTTTATGTATTGTGTATTTCTTTTGAAAGCTAAATTTTGGGGCACCTGGGTGGCTCAGTGGTTGAGTGTGTGCCTTTGGCTCAGGTCATGATCCTGGGGTCTTGGGATCAAGTTCCTCATCAGGCTCCCCACAGGGAGTCTACTTCTCCCTCTGCCTATGTCTCTGCCTTTCTCTCTGTGTGTCTTTCATGAATTGAAAAATAAAATCTTTAAAAAAAAGAAAGGAAGAAAACTAATTTTTTTATGTATCACAAGTCCTGCCAATACCTTTTAATTTAGAAGTAGTTAAGGACGCAAACTATTTTTTCATAATGTTGCCATAAAGCAAAGAATAGAGGAATTGACAAATCAGATGAATTCAAAGCCCTCAATTTAGAGTTAGCCTTATGCAGAGGATGAGCAGGCCATCAGCTAATTCATGTCATTAGAGAAGTACTTCCACACTGAAACTCTCCCTGCCTTAGTGCTTAAACCCGCTGTGTTAGACACCCATTCTTTCTGGAGTTATTGAAAAGTGAACTGGCTTGCTTTAACAGCAGTCAAATTTGCTATCCAAGGAAATATCGGGTGACTACTTGGCAAGAGTAACATAGAGTTAATTCAGGAACCATGGGATGAATTGAACTAGAAGAGTATTTATGGACCAGTCAGCAGTGCCCACCAGGGAGTCTTCTTCTGAAGCTCTCTTAGATATTTATATTCATGAGATGAACATAGATTATTTGTCATCACATTCACATAGGATATAAGATAGGAAGCATGGCTTGAAGTAGGCCAGCCTCAGGCATTTCTTTTCAGTGGGATTAGTCCTCATAGCAGTCTACATACATGGCAGTCCAAAAGCCACACTTCTTTGCCCTGCTGCCCACCAGGCAAAAGTTTAGATGCAAAAAGGTGAGACCCATATCATTAGGTATGAGATCTATCTTAGTTTAATAGTTTTGTGCCCCACAGGAACCAATATCCCATATAAATTTCCACAGTTAAGCTTCTGTGGACTCCACAAGGAATATATGCAAGCACAAGAGTCATCAAATTCAGGGATTCCCCAAAACTAGATCTTCATCAATAACTTATAAATCTCTAAGTTCAGATGTAATTTCTCAATCAAGAGTCCCTTTTACCACAATCGATTTTGCCTAATAATAATGTAATGGTATTCCATCTTTATCAAGTGTCAAGGGAAACATCTCAGAAGTTAACCCAAGGTAAAATTTGCTCATGTAGAAGGTGACAGGGTTTTGGAAACCTTTCAAAATATAAATTCCACCTTCATGTTCAGGATTTTAACAGAATTAATTGCTTCGCTTGTTTAGAGGCAGTCGTTCAACTTGATAATTCAGCTATATTCATCCATTTATTCAACTTATTCAATTAATAAGTACTGAGCTCCTACTCTGGGCCAGGTCCTAAGTGCATGAATCAGCTCCTTTTCCCTTCTTTTCTTTTTCTTAAATTGCTTTCTGGTGAAATATCTGAACCTTGAAATGAGGTATAGGTATCACATGATAATAATGTACAAAAAGAGTTGAAATACAGAATGACAAGTGCTGTAACTTTTGTACAGCTGTCCTCCCTAGTCAAACATGTGCTCTCTCAAAGGGCAAGAATCATGTTTTTCTTCTTTGTTTCTTCAGTGGCATTAGAGTGGCTGACCCATAGTTGTGCTTAGTGCTCATTTACCAAATGAGTTATCTCAGTGAATCTTAGGTAGAAGAGAAATTTGATTAAACCTAGTGATATTTGCTCATTAACTGAAATTAAAGTAACTGGTGGAATTTCAGGGTCAACTAAGTGACCTGGCTTCTGAATTTCTTTCTAGTGGTGGCTGTCCATGGCATGTCCAGGATGCCCATGTTCTGCGATTTTGTTCAGCAAATCTGCAAAATGGCATTGAGACAGACAATATCAGCAGTGTAACATGATGATTGATGTTAAAGACTAGGGAGTGATCACAGCACTGGTACAAATCTTTGCTCTACCACTTACATGCTGCATGACCTTGGTCAAGTTATCTGGCGTCTCTAACCCTCAATTTTCTTCTATAAATGGGAAAAACAAATTTATTGGTGTTGTTACAAGGATTAAATAAGATTATATATAAATAGTATATATATAATTATATTTAATAGATAGATAGATAGATAGATAGCACCTGGAATATTTCAGTGTATAATGAAAGAAAGCTATTTATTTAATGAATCTCTCTTGAGCTTGGTGGCACCAGAGTCAAGAGGAATCAAAGATAATAATAGCCCTTGAACAGACCACAAAAAATATCTATGTTTTATATTAAATGCATATGCAAAGTGTTTACATCATTGAAAAATCAAGAAGTTGTTACAAGTTCATGACTTATTTTTGTCTTTGGCAGACCGAAGGATTTAAATACCCCAGGCCTTCCTCAGTTCCACCTTCCCCTTCAGGGTCTCAGGTCTCTAGTCCTCAAAGCAGTGATGTGGAAGATGAAGAAGAGGATGAGCGATACAATGAGGAAGAGGAGGCTGAAAGGGATCGGTTAAATATCAAGTCACCATTTTCTCTGGGCCGTGTTCCTCGTGGGAAGAAGAAGCTGCATGGAGAATACAAGAACTGAATTCCATGCTGGTCGAACAGAGCTCATGTAGTAAGAACAGAGGAAGAGTGATTATTTAAAGAAAAGAAAGTGCTACACATTTCATTCTCTTCTTCTCAATGTTACAACGGGATTTATTCTCTGCCTATGAAGGGGAGATGAAGTGAATGGCAATTTGGTAATTTCTAATAAAATTCAAGTTATTTTCTTTCCCCCATTCCTTTATTCCCAGTAAATTTAGGCATGAGGAGGAGTGTTCATTAAAGGAGGAAGACTAGAAGTATTTTTAAAATGGTTAATTTAAGCAATAAGAATTTTCATTTGCTAATGTACATTTTGAAATTAGCATCACCATAATCCTGTGCTTAGTATTTATACAACTGCCGTATCTTCCAAACAAGTCTCCTATTTTCCCCAAAAGGGATCCTGATCTGAGCCCATATTTTAAATAACTCGATCTTTAGTGACTATTTTCATGCTTCACATGACTCAGAGCCATAAATTTCTATCTAGCTCTGAACACAATAAAAAATCCATAAGAAAAAAGCTGTCTTAAATCCAGATCCTGATACATAGTAATTCATATTTACAAGGTCACGTCTCAACTTAATGATGGGAAGATGTTACCACCTGCACTATACCATGTGACTGTAACAATTTTTCTATTCTTTAAAAGGAAAGCTGTTTGGAAGGAAAACTTGGTCAGTCTTCAGTCTTTTAAAATCCAAATAAATTAATATATCGATATTTAATATCAAGATCAAAATATCAATTAAGCTTTCATTGATGTCTTGTTTTCACTTGTTTAGACATTTAAATAAGACAAACAGTATAAAATACCTGCTATGAAATAGTGCCTTATAAAGGATAACATTTAAAGCTATCTTTTAAAAAATTAAAAAAAGAAAATATAGAGTCTACTTAATTATAATAAGGGCAATGTCTCTAACACATGCATGATGTGCTTAGAGACATTGTTGAATGATTGTAGTTTAACATATTTATGCTTTAAATGTAATGAAATCTATATAGGTAAAAAAAGAAACAATCCACAAACCCCACCTTCACTCTTGGACTATTATTTCCACAACTTAAGGATTATTACACTTAGATCACAATGAATAGGTTGTTTGGCATATCAGTTGACCTGGATCTGCAGAGGTTTTTCTTCTTCTTCTTCTTCTTCTTCTTCTTCTTCTTCTTCTTCTTCTTCTTCTTCTTCTTCTTCATCTGCAGAAGTTTTAAACAAGTTTTAGTCTGGGGAACCTGGCTGGCTCAGTTGGTAGAGCATGCAACTCTCCATCTCAGGATTGTAAGTTTGAGCCCCACGTTGGGTGTGGAGATTACTTAGCAATAAGAAAGAAAGAAAGAAGAAAGAAAGAAAGAAAGAAAGAAAGAAAGAAAGAAAGAAAGAAAGAAGAAAGAAAGAAAGAAAGAAAGAAAGAAAGAAAGAAAGAAAGAAAGAAAAGAAAAGAAAAGAAAGAAAGAAAAAGTTTAGCCTGCTCAGTGCTGGATTGTTGATGGCAACAAGGGAAGAATAATAGGCCATGTGTGAGATGGTTCAGGACTAGTGGAAAAAAAATTTTTAAGATTTTATTTATTTATGAGAGACGCACACACACACACACACACACACACAGAGAGAGAGGCATAGACACAGGCAGAGAGAGAAGCAGGTTCTACGCAGGGAGCCCAACGTGGGACTTGATCTCGGGTCTCCAGGATCACACCTTCAGGCTGAAGGTAGGGCTAAACCTCTGGGCCACTGGGGCTGCCCTAGTGGAAAACTGTAATACAGCTCTCCTACGGTCTGCCCCATTGTTAAGAAAAAGTAGATGAAGGTGGATATAAGCCCAGTGGAAGATGGTTGCAAACTCACTTCATTTAGAGGTTCAGGAAAAAGAGAAATAAATTACCTAAAACCTAATCCTTGAAAAATGTCTGTCGATGCCAATTAACCCAATGTCTGCAGAGCAGTTTGGGAACGTCTGCACAGGAAATCAGAAAATATGAGAGGGATTTGTATTACAATATAAACACTCATTCGCTGAAGTGTCAGAAAAATCTTACGATAAAAAGAGGTTTAATGTTACAATAACCATAAAAATATATTCCTAGTAAAGTGGCATAATGTGTATATTCAAATGATATCCGTGGTTGGTAACTGGCTAGTCCACTGTTATTGAAAGCATGAGGTTTCCTCAGTAAAATAGCTTCTTTAAAAAAATATTTATTTGAGAAATCTCTACACCAAATGTGGAGCTCAAACTCATGATCCCAAGATCAAGATTCTCACGTTCTTCTGACTAAGCTAGCCAGGAGCCCCAGTAAAATAGCTTCTTAATATAAAACTTTAAAATTCAAGTGCTTTTTTTTTTAAAAAAATGGAAGAACAGTTCTCTAATTAGAAATGAGTACAAATGATAGAGCTTGTGGAAATTCACAGACTTGCAAACACCTGGTTTTGAGCCACCTAGTTCTACCCTGCACTCGCTCCTCTATTCAGAGAGCTGCTGCCCCTGGATTCCATCCCCTTCCTCCAGTCATTTTTTTGTCCTCTCCCCAAGACTGACAAAGCCAGATGAGGAGCAACAGACAGGATTGTTAGTAGAAGACTCTGTTTCTAGCACAGTGCCTTATATACAGTAGCTGCACAAATGAATGGTCTCCCTGGGAGTAGAGGTACAGAAAAACTGATGTTTTTAAAGTGTATGTATTCATAAGCTGGAGTACAGGAACTATAGAAAATAGTCAATGTGTGCTTGACCAGCTGACAGAAGACTTTTTTAATGCATTGGACCACCCTCTTCCTTCCATGTTAAGAATTAGGGTGAGCAGAGCTGGTTTTACATATACTGATGAGAATATCAAATGTTGCAAGTGCTCTGCTAATTGTTTCCCAGGGCACAAGGAGGACTCAGGAGAGGGACTGGTCAAATGTACTTGGGGAGGCCTAAAGGGTGAGGATACACTTATGTGAAGTCACATGGGGGTACAATTGCCAGCTTCACATGGGGCAGGCAGAGGGAGAGGGAGAAGCTGGCTCGCCGCTGAGCAGAGAGCAGGACCTGGGGCTCAATCAAAGGACCCTGGCATCATGACCTGAGCCGCAGGCAGATGCCCAACCCACTGAGCCACCCAGGCGCCCACCCAGTTTTAAAACACAAGCCGTACAAATGTGAACATCTTTTGTCCATTTCAATTTTGAAAAAGCTAGAAATAAAGAGAATTGCAAAGATATTCCAAGAGACATAGAATGTTATAGCAGCTGGGCATAGGGGCTTGTATGCAAATACCATGTTAATGAGGCACATCTGTACAGCAGAACAATATTCAAGGAATTTAAGCACGTATACAATACTTGGTACTATATATCATATGAATTGTATTCTAATATGATACTGTATTGTTTTAATAATTGTTGCTTATTTAGAAAGTTTTTGAAAACTTTTTAAATTTCAAGTGTGAAATGCTTGAGATTTTTCTATTTAGTAGTGGGAAGAATTATTTCACATGTTGGGGTTTTAAAATAGTCTTGGAGTAAGCATAATATTTAAATAGCCAGTATGTACACACCTATATCGGATGAGCAAAATCTCAATAAACTGGACATAGGTATTATCTAGAAAATCCACTTAAAGTCAAATCATAACAAATCACAGATGCCTATTACGATACCACAAAATTTTTTTAATGCTAACATATTTTTGGAAGAGATAAATGTAACAATAACTTGAATATAGTTTCATTATTCAATTATGATACAAGATACAGACAAATCTTATAAGCAGGGTTTTAATTTCATAACACAGTGAATTGTAATTCCAAGGTACATTCACATAAAGAAATCCTTTAGCTACTGAATAATGACTATATACTGACGACAGTAAGAATTAACAATACTTTCCACTATGACATTTATCAATAACAACTCTCAACTAATTAGGTGAAAAAAAATTAACATGTTGATCATATTGTAATTCCAAATAAATAGGTTATTATGCTCGCTGTGGAGGTGTCTGTGTGTTTGTGCGTATGTATTTTTTCAGACAGTTTTCAAAGTTTTGAGGAGAAGCAGATTAGGCATATCACTGTACACTGATGTTATCGGGGTGCCTTTATATAACATTTTAATGTAAAATACAGCCTAGAGCTTTAGTCAATTAGAGTAAGCAGAGTCTGTTTAGCTGAGGAACATGAGTCATCTCTGAAAAATCGGTTTATTCCTTTTGTACAATATACACAGGAGTGGAGTGTGTCTCCGTCTTATTTCCCAGTAACTTCCTGAATTCAGGGTGATTCCCAAAGAGCTCAAATGGGAGTTCCCCACAGTGGGACCCTCTACCAGCCTCACAGATTCCCTTTTCTCCCCTTTCAGCAGCTACACTGAAGTGTTCTTATTCAGGGCTTCTTCCCAGTCACCTCCATCCCTCTTTTCTTCCTAACAACTTAGTCTCCAAGATGAACCACTAAGAGAACACGCTCTGCTCTTCCCCATCCTGCCATGCTCCCCACCTCACCCACCATGTAGTTGGACAAAAGGCAGAAAAGGAGAGGGAGATTTGCAGCTGAGTACAAGACAATGCAAAGGATAAGGGAATGAAAAAGTCAATGACTAAGACCTACTAGATCAAGATGGATATTTGTTGTAATAAATAGAAAGCATGCTCTAAAGAGTCTCTGGCTTTATAATTATGAATGGGAGTAAGACACAAGGTGACCTAAACAGGACCAGAAGCAATGATGTTCTCAGCTAAGAACCCTACATTACCTTTGCTTCTGGGAAGAATAAAACTGGTTATGCATGTTCCCATCATTACAACTGGAGTAAAAGGGTCCAAGGGCTTTATTTACATGGTTCATGTTTTCAACGAGAATGGAACTGTATTGGACTATAATCTGGTTTATTTTCACCAGTTTAGTAGACTGTCTTCTAGGACACTGGTTTGATCAAAGTTTTCTTCTCTATCTGTAAGAAAAAAAATACATAAACACATTTCCCTGGGTTTTAAAAGGGGAAGGGATAAGATGAAGAGGTCCTCAAGAAATAAACACTTAGTTTCCTAAATTCTGTTAACCCCTGCCCTTTGCTACTGAGAATCCAAAAAAATGTGTTTTGATTGATTGGGTTTTAAAAACCTTCCTCCTCAGCTCAAGACACATAACAGAACTCACATTTCACATCAGACTTCCTCCAAAATGAATGAAACTGTAATGTGCTATGTTTGGTAGCAATCCGAAAAGGCTATGTGTCTTGCCTCATGTCTTAAATACCCACCATTAGAACCATTCGATTGTCTCTGGTAACTTCCTGTTAACAGTGTGTCTTATTTGCACTTTTGCACATATTCTGCTTATTTACTGAGCTAGACTAGGCCTGGGGAGGAAATGAGACAAAGAGAAGGGACACTTGTTGGCCGGATGAAATTGCCAAATTTTAGAGCATGAGGTATCACTTGCGGGGCAGGGTAGCTAAGGAGTCAGATGACAGCAGTTACCTGAGACTGTAACAATGGGTGGAAAAACTAAAACCTACCATAGGGCAGGGAGAAGGAGTTGCCAGAGTAACAGTCTCAGGAACAGCTGCTCTTTAAAGAGAAGGAAAAAAAAAAAACTCAGTAAGAAGGGCATCCTTGGGGCACCTGGGTGGCTCAGTGGTTGAACATCTGCCTTCGGCTCAGGTCATGATCCTGGGATCCTGGAATTGAGTCCTGCATCAGGCTCCACACAGGGAGCCTGCTTCTTCCTCTGCCTATGTCTCTGCCTTTCTCTGTGTCTCCCACGAATAAAGAAATAAAATCTTTTTTTTTTTAAAAAAAGGGCATTCTTATATATCATGAACTAAAATAACTCACCTTATAAAATAAGAGCCTATCAAATAATACTTAGGTACTTTAGAATAGAAATATTAAAGGTGGCTAGTAATTAACATATCTTATGGAAATTCAAAACTTCCCATCAATTTAAGCAAGTAGATTGTGTTTCCTTATTTCATCACCAGAAACAAGCTACTCTGGAAACATCAGTGAGCAAAAAAATACATTTCTTTTCCAAGAAAGACTTGAGGTTGGGACCTTTAATCATCCACCCTTCTCTAAAGTTTTTTTTCCTTTTTTTTTTTTTAATTTAAATTTTAGTCAGTTAACATCCAATGCAACATTTGTTTTCCAAAGTCTTCCCTAAGGTTTGGAATGAAGATCCTTCTTCCCCTCCTTAAAATTACCTTCCCTCTTTCCATTCTAGCTCTTTTTTTTTTTTCCTGGCTCCATGCATCTTCCCAGCAACCAAATCTAAAACTTCTCTTTTGATCCATTTTTACCAGCAGTCTCCTCCTACTAATTTCAGCAAATAGTAAGTGCGCCAAATGTTGATTTTAGAAAAGATCACTTTGGAGGTAGCATCCTCTACCCATTATCCAACTATTTCTCACCTTTTCATTGCAAGAGTTCTGAGAGCCATGCTAGCTAGTACTTGCTTTCTTCTTGTCCCAAATTCCCTCTCAAGAAGTTTTCACAAGTGGCAGGAGAGTAGCAAGTAGTGTCACTGAGCAGGGGCTGAGCAGAAATCTTGTGGCCTGCTGTTCAATGACCCCACCTAGCCAACACGATCTTCCTTTCTGGTTGATGTCTTCTCTCACTAACCATTACTCTACATGTGATGCTTTCATCACTCATTTCTTGAAACTTTCCACCCTTGATTTCTGGATATGCTATTATTCGGGTTCTTCTCTTAACATTCCTGCCTTCTCCTTAAATGTCCCTTCACTGATACGACCTTCCTCCTTTTCCCTTAATCTCTAGGTATTCTCTGAGGCAAATCCTTTATGATCTGCCCTTTCCTTTAAGGCCTCAGCTGTAACAGGCCTTAAAGAGATTTCCATTTTCATGGCTCAGCCGGTTCTGCATTTCCAGTTGTTCCCAAATCTGCCCAATCATCAGAATCATTTGGGGGAACTTCTCAAGGATACAGATTCTGAGGCCTCATTCAAGTTTTGAAGAGTCAGAATCTCTGGTGGGTCTAAGGCTGAGAAATCAGTATTTTGAGGAAGCTCTCCAGTTAACTCTATGGAGCCAGTCCATAGATGGATAGTTGAGAACCACTGACCTACACACTTTTACTCACTGGACCATCTCTGTCATCTCAGACTGAACCTTAATTATACCCATGGAAATGTTCATTCATCACCAGCATAACCATTTCAAAATGGGCTTGACTCTGGATTCCCTTTCATCTCCTCAGTGAATAGTTATCCCATGTTATTTATTCTTCTTTCCAGTATTCCTTAGAGTGGAGCCTCCCCATCCATTCCCACTGACTGGCTGCTCCTCATCTCTGCAATCCTGCAGTTTCTATTCACATTCCTTGGCTTCTCCCTGATTCCCCTCTGCGATCTGTCTTCTTGGAGACAATGCAGTTGGCGGCTGGCCTGGCATAATGGAGAGTGCTGTAGAGTCACACCGACAGGATGTAAGTTAAAATCCCAACATAGCTTCTTACTAACTGCGTAACCTTAGGAAAGTAAATACACCTCATAAAGGTTCAATTTTCTGAGCCAGAAAGATTCTCATTCACATCTGGCACATAGTAGACCTTCCTGTATTGTTCTAATTGTTACAGTTCTTATTGTTACTCTCTGGGCCATAATCACATTCAGCCTTCTTCACTGAATCATCACTATGCTCTGAATCCAGAGGGCATTTTACTGATTCTTAAAGAGTAAATTACCTTTGTTCTTTATCCCAGTTCCAGTAAGTACCTGCTGTAGAAGAGTGGGCAAGCTACTTAATCTTTCTGTGCCTCCATTTCACCTGGCAAGTGTGGACAATAATATGCTTACTTCCCTGGGTCACTATGATGGTTAAATGTATTAATCTATATCACATGCTGGCCCCACTGCCTTATGGTAAGCCCTCAACAACTATTAGCTCCAGGTAGTAGTCATAGTAGCAGATAATCATCATCCTAGCCCTGATATAACCACTCCACCTGCGTTCTGCTATTCTACTTTTCAAAAAAATTTATTTATTTATTTATTTATTTATTTATTTATTTATTTATTTATTTATTTATTTGAGAGAGAGAGAGAGAGAGAGAGAGAGCACATATGAGCACAAATGCGGGTGCAGGAGAGGGACAGAGGGAGAAGCAGACTCCATACTGAGGAGGGAGACCCCTTGGGGTGGGTGTTGATTCCAGGATTCTGAAATCATGACCTGAGTCGAAGACAGACACTTAACCAACTGAGCCACCCAGGTGCCTCTCACCCTATTTTTTTGCTGCAATGGTTGTTCTCATTCCTGCTTACCCTTAATCTGCTTTCTTTTCTGCCTGCCACCATAGCTGGCACCTAGCCGGCATAAGTGCATATGTGCTGAGTTATGTATTATAATCCCCTCTACCCACCTACTCAGTCCTTGTTCTGAGTTCAGAAGGCTCCCAATCCCACTCTCTTGCATTTACTTCTCATCAGTACTTTTTTCACAAGAAACCATAAGCCTGAAGCCAGAAAGTACCCTTCCTTTCTTATTTTCCCCGCATGGTCCATCTAATACTAGGCCCAGAGGATATATATGTCTTCTCTATTAGCATAAGTGTCGGAACACTAGGCCAGAAGCCTGTGCTTTGAACATCAGACTACTCACTATAAATCTTCTAAATATTTAAACATTTAAATAATGTCACAAGATGGCATCATTTCAATTTTTGAGAGGGAAAATTCTAGGTCTGTTTATTATGCTTTGATGATCTCTTTTGTTAATAGTAATTAAAATTATGTATCTTGTTTCAATTGGCTCTCATAGCAATACAATATACATGTGTATAATTATTCCATTTTACCAGAAATGATACTAAGACTCAGGGTTATCCAGCTGGTAGAGCAGCAGAACCAGGATTTGAACCCAGCCTGTTATATACTCCAAAGCTCTGGCTTATCTATTACCAAGATGCCTTAATTCAACTAGTGGTTTCAGTGCTACGTGGGCAGAGTGTCTCTAATTGAAGATACACCTAATCTTTGTATAGAAGAAGTTGTATAATGTAATGAAAATTACACAGGCTTGGAATCAGAACTGGCCCATATCTACTGGGATGAACCATATGATATTGCTATATGCAAATATAAAATAGTTCATTTTCAGCAATTTCATTTGGTTGTAAGTGAAACAAGTTTAGGGTAGGCTCTGGATTATGAAATTAATATGAAATCCCCCAGTGTCCTCAAGGAAATGTTTTTATGTTCCTGGGGATTCCTTTAATGAGTAATGTACTAATGTTTATATAGTAAACATGTCTGAGTTTCTGGAGCTGGGAGCAAGCTGTTAACTATATTAAAAAATCTGAATAAAGGCAACTTTGTTGTATTCAACACAGAATCCTAAAAGTAATTAAAGCTACGCTGTCCTGCAGCTGAAAGAGGTCACTATACTTGTACCTTCTTGTGGTTTCTGCAAGGAAGTTAAGAGCAGAGCTGCTGCCTCTGGAAGAGTTAGTAGTTGGGGATTTGGGCTTCGCCTTTCTGGAGAAAAAAAAAGTATACACAGATTCTATTAGTATTTAAATATCCCTACTCTGATATGCTATACATCGAAAAACCTTCTGAAAGAGACTTGATCCCTTAGCAAATCACCCCCCCCCCGTTTACACAGAAGATTAATTTTTATGAATTGGAACATTTTACACTTCTCTGGGATGTTACTTACAATTGGTTATGTTGTGTTATTACAGGTATGGAAGAGAATTTATATACTACAGAGAATTTCATGAAAGGAGGATGGATTAAGGTAAATTACTCTGAATAATTTCACCCTTCAGAGCATAAAATGCACTGTTTGGGGGGGAATATTTAGATGTAATGGATAGTCCTGGGAGCATGAGCTACTTCTCTCCTTCTGTCCAAAGCTATTTGAAATAATAATCTACATTCTTACATGAGTAAGGCAAATAAGTCTCTGGCCCTATTCTTAATGGCCCCTACCTATTAACTATTTCTGGTTTTGAACTGCTTTAGAGCCCCTTCTAGTAATGTCAATAGGGGCGTACATTTGAAGTTTCCAGGTAAAGTACTAATAACAACAACAACATTTAAAAGGAAATCCTTAAAGGTCTTGCCATAAAAGGGGAGGTACATTTTAGAGGCAGTTGCGCCATTCTCGCTCCCACTCCTTTCCTCCTGGAAGGTGAACCCCCAGGCCCGGCCCGGCCCGGCTCGGATAGCTCCCCCGGGACCAGAGGGCCGCCGGAGCAGCCGAGCCCGGATTCAGCTTCGGGAGCCTCAGTTCCAGCCTCTGCCGCCCATAGAGCGGGGCACCGCGGCCGCGGCTTCAGCTGGGCGCCGGCTGGCTGTCCCCGATGCGGCTCGGAGCCACGTCCCTGCCGGAGCGCGGCCGGCCCGGGGGTCCTGCGGTGAGTCGCCGCTGACCCCAAGCCTCCTCCCTCGCTCACTCACCCGGCGGCGGCCGGTCGGAGGGGTCCTTCTTCCGGCTCTGGTCCGAGATGAAGCGGCGCCCCTCTGCAAAGGCGAGACGTGGGGCTCAGCGCCCTCCGGCTGCTCCACATCGGGGTTAAACTGGGCTCAGCGCCGGGAGTCCCCGAGGCGCGACGGATGGGGGCGGCAGCGGCGGCCAGGGTCCGCGCTGGACTGCCAGTTTTCTGGAGCTCGGCGTGCGACCCGGGGCTGGATCAGGCGCCCTGCCTGCGCCCTGCCCCCGCGCCTGCCTGTCCGGGTCCTGGTCCCTGCCCGCGCCCGGCTCCCGCCCTGCCCGCACCTGCTGCACCTGCACCCGTCGGCCCGTGCCCTGCCCGCGCCCTGCCCGCACCTGCTGCACCCTGCACCCGTCGGCCCGCGCCCTGCCCGCGCCCGGCTCCCGCCCTGCCCGCGCCCTGCCCGCACCTGCTGCACCTGCACCCGTCGGCCCGCGCCCTGCCCGCGCCCGGCTCCCGCCCTGCCCGCGCCCTGCCCGCACCTGCCCGCACCTGCTGCACCCTGCACGCGTCGGCCCGCGCCCCGCTCTCGCCCTGCCGGCGCCCTGCCCGCCGCGGCAAATGATCAGTGGTCGGGTTCAAGGGTCCATGCGGTGTTTCCCAGGCCACTCCAGAGTCTTCCTGAGCGGCAAGAGCCAGCAACGCCCCAGTTCGGGACGGAGAGGTTCTAATAATCAGAGTCTTTCTTTTCCACTGCCACACCCCCTGCTCTCCCTTTCTTTCTTTCTTTTTCTTTCTTTCTTTCTTTCTTTCTTTCTTTCTTTCTTTCTTTCTTTCTTTCTTTCTTTCTTTCTTTTTCTTTCTTTCCTTTCTCTCTTTCTTTCTTTTTCTTTTTTCTTTTTTTTTTATTTTTTTATCAATACCAGGATGGCTTCGATTATTTAAGGGAACAAACTCGATGTTATTCTCTCCCCACACACCTATCCCATGGATTCATGCAACCCTAAGGATCTTCCTTTATTGCTGTCGGAAGAGCAAAGTATTTGGAACTTACGTGCGCCCTTCAGATAGAGCATAGATTGAGGAGTCCAGTTCCTTCTCTCAAAGAGTCGCTACAACCCAGGGAGAAGAGAAAAGCAGTTAGTAAGACATTGTAGCTCAGTCTTCTGTTAGAAAAAAGAAAGGAAGAGAAGGAGGGGGGAAAAGAGAGAGAAAGAAAAAGAAAAAAAAGGAAGGAAGGAAGGAAGGAAGGAAGGAAGGAAGGAAGGAAGGAAGGACGGGAGGACGGAAGGAAGGAAAAGAAAGAACACCTAGGAGCCCCAGGTTTTGCGTTTGCTTACCTGTGGCGCACTGCTGGAACATCCTAAGAAAGAAAACACTAGAAAAAGAGCCAAGGTTGTTGCCACCAGACTTCGGAGTCCCTACAAGAAAAGATCAAAGAAAGTAATTTCTGTGCCTATAGCATCTCATACTTTCGTGACACCTGGACAATTACAAACCTCTTACTTTTCCATGTGCTCTGTTTTAATAATACTCAGTATGTGGAGGAGAGGGGAATTCCCAGTCTACCTTCTACTTAACTTACAAAAGAATTCTTTAAAAAAAAAAAAAACATTTAGAGGGAAGCTTGTGTGGCTCAGTGGTTGAGCCTTGCCTTTGGCTCAGGACTTGATCCCAGGGTCCTGGGGCCCTCTGATTCAGTCCCTTCACGGGACTCCCTGCAGGGAGACTGCTTCTACCTCTGCTTATGTCTCTGCCTCTCTCTGTGTGTCTATCATGAATAGACAGATAATCTTTAAAAAAATTTAGAAATACGTTATTTTCATTACTTCACCCAAATGAGTGATTTTTTTTTTTTTGGTAGCAAAATCAAATGATTGATATTTTAAGGCATGTTGTTTAAATATCCTTTAGGCTATAAAATGCTTACTATAGATAAAATAGGTAAAAAGTTATAAAGCTTTTTACAAATAGCTTAAAAGTCTCCAGTAAATAAAACTTTTACTTACCTTCATGTTCGACTCGTTTCCAGAACCTGCGATAACTGTAACTTTACCTGTCAGTTTTCTAATCTTGCTCTGAGAGTGGAGCTTTTAAATCTTAGTGTCAGGGACCCCTCCTGATCTTCAGTAGAGTTAGGGAGTCAATAGGGAATTCTTGTCAATATTCAAGATTGAGAGGATCTGACAATTTTTCCAGGGAGATTTGTTTGCAGGAAGTAAATAAATGATTGATGAGTAGACATCATTTATTTAGATACTGACCACATCGGTGAGGAGATATTCTGAATATATCAGCATCATTGCTTTTGCTTTTGCCACTAGCTTCCCAAAGTATTTATTATTAGTAGCAGAAAAAATTATTAACAAGCCCAGGCTGAATCAAAAGTAAATGAATCAAGTAAGCAAACTTGTCTTGTGTAGCTAGCTATCAAGCTATCACTGATGACTAAAGATGAATCCTTTGGGTGAAAGTAAAAAGGTTAGGGAATCTTGATGGAATTTGACATCACTCCTTCACTTATGTATCCATTCAGTTATTTAGTAAACACTTACTGAATGCCTACTATGTATCAGACATTTCTCCTTTTAGTTCAAGAGACACAGCCATGCATTAAAAAGACATGGTCTCTGCTATGTTCACGCTTATTTTCTAGTCAGAGGAGAAATATTGTAAATTAATAAACAGGTATATAAGGTAATTTGAAAATGTTTTAAATACTTTATGAAGTAAAAATAAGTGAGGCGATATGATACGTGGTGGGGTACTTTAGGGAAGGCAGCATTGAGGGGGTTCTGGAATATCAGGTAGAGTCAGACATGAGATGAGTCAGAGTGAGAATTAGTGTAACAGGCAGAAGAAAGACACAATCTTGGGATGGCAAAGAATGTCTTGTTTAAGGAATGGGGAGGAGACCAATGAGGCCAAAGCTGAGTGGGTTAAGGGGTGATAATAGGGGAAAGCACTTTGAAATAAGGTTAGAGAGGGAGAAATGGGCCAGTTCATAGGGAAATGGTTATGAACAAGAGATGATGATGGCTTAGACTTGGGTGATACTTGCAGGGAATGGAAAGCCATAAATGAATTTGGGGTGTGTGTTGGAGGTAGAAAATATAGAACCTGTGGATAAATGGGATGTGGGAGTCCAAGAAAAATAAATCAAGGATGAGTCTTGGGTTTCTGGCTTAAACACTGGGTATTTACTGAAATTAGAGTGTTCATAGGAGACAGTTAAGAGAAGTGAATTAAATTTGAATATTAAAATTGAAGCATACATTATTAAGCTTAAGTGTGAAGTAGGCAGTTGGCTACGTAAAACTCTGCAGAGTTCAGCAAAGAGGCCACCAGCCTACAGAATTTTTTCTAAAGGCAGAAATGGTCAAGTTTAAGAATTAAGAATTGTAAGAATTTTAAGGCAGGAAAATGATTGGGATTGAACAAGAATGCTTAGAAAGTGAATGGAGTTAAGGACAGATGAGAGGGAAGAGCTTTGAAAACAAACATCTAGAGATGAGCAGAGGGAGAGCCAGGAAAGCAAGTTGAGGTGAAGCCATCAGAAAAAAAAGAAAAAAAGATAAATTCTCAGAGGCCAAAAGACCATGGAAGCCAACAGAATATCCAGCACTGTTGAGAGGTCATGTCAGATGAGCACCAGGAAGTGTGCACTGGATTTGGAAATATGAAGGTTTTTAAGGACATAAGCTAGATTGGAGTGTGTTGTTAGTGAAATAGAATATAAGGACATAAGGATGAGTTCAGGCAGCATTTTTAAGTTAGCCTCACTACATTTCACTAAAAGGAGGTAAGGAAAATGAAGTTTTTTTTTTTTTTTTTTAAAGATGAGATATTTGAGAGTAGTGGAAGCATATTGTTTTTTTGCCTTTTGGTAATATCTGAACCCTTTCATTTTTAAGGAATTCCTAAAATTCCTTAAATTATGAATTATGGAATTACGAATCTCTGTGGGAGGCAGAGGCTTCCTTCATTGTACAAGGTGAAAATGCCAGACACTTACTTTGCCAGCAACCCTAACAGGTAGGATGTGGGCTTCATATGAAACAGGCTTCCCCAATCAGACACGCTGCCTCAGATGGGAAATTGGGAGCTTGGATGAACTTGGAATCAGGAGAAACATTTTCTGGTGCTGCAGTGGTTGTGGTAAGCCTAAGTTTGTGGGGGCAATACTGCCTACAGTGCTGAAGTCAGATTCCAGGATGGTGATACCACCTGCAGTGTCCTGCTAAAATCAGGCTTGTTGGTTTCCCCTAATGACAACTGACAAACCATTTGCATAACACATATGCTGATGGAGATGATCAGGAGGAGACATTGATGATGCTGAAAAGAAGGTAACTGCAAGAAGAAATGTGTAGAATGTGACAGGGAAAGGATGCAAAGAATGTCGATATCCAGGTGAAACAGTTACATATATAGGCAGATACTGAACAAGGACCTGAATACTCACCATATGCTAAGCTACTGTAAATAAGAAAGATAATCCCTTTCCTCTAAAAGTTAGTTGTTCCTCAGGAATTAATATGTATGTGAATCACCTGGGAATGTTGTAGATTCTAACTTAGTACAAGTGGGATGAGGTCTGAAATTCTGCATTTCTTTTTTTTTTCTATTTAAAGATTTTATTTATTTGAGAGAGAGCATGAACAGATAGGAGGGGCAGAAGGATAGGGAGAAGCAGGCTCCCCGCTGAGTGGCAGGGGTGGGGGTGGGGACGCTTCATCCCAGGATGCTGGGATCATGACCTGAGCCTAAGGTAGACACTCAACTGACTGAGCCACTGAAATTCTGCATTTCTAATAAACTCCCAGGTGATGCTGATAGATATTACTCTACTGATCCTAGGATATTTCGAATAGTAAAGATTTAGAGGATATTAGTGATGAAAATGAAACTCTGGAGTCTGTGTGGCTGGGAGAATGGCTAGCCATAGAAATATCAAGGAGTATGGGGAGAGAACAGATAAACTTGATATCTGCAAATACTTGTGTAAGAGAGATTGGGATTTGAACCCTTGATATTTAGACTTACCAGCCTGTGAAGACATGAACACTGAAGTTTGGTTAGTAAATGAGAAAAGTAGTCTGTAGGTAGAAACTTTACTCCCTTTAAGGCATAAATCAAGCCAGAAAGAGCCAAAGCTGTTACTGTAGTGTTTCCAACAATCTTAGGAGAGGGGAAAGATTAAAAACCAAGGACTAATAGATTAACACCAAAACTGGATAAAATCTATTATTTTTTAAATGTCAGACTTCACGATTTTAGGATTTAATTTCACGGGATTACAGCAACTTCCAAAGAAAAGGACAATAAAAGAAATAAAATTATACATGTGTTTGTCTCAAAGGAACTTGTAAGTGAAACCCAATTGCTAGGTCACCTAACAAACAAGCAAAATGCCGATTTCCCCCTCTCAGTACCAAAAAATCAGAAACATTTTAGAAAGAGGGACAGGAAAATGAGTCATCGATAAAACTGTGTTCTGAATTTACAACTTTAAGGATAAACATATGATGTAGTTTGTTTATAAAAGTTTCAGTAATGAATTCACAAGTAGATGCTTTCCATCAAAACTGCCACAGTCAGTATAATATGCAGCAGTGAGGAGAATGGTTTTGACAGATTATCAATATTGTAGTCTTATCAAAAGCAATGTGCTAGAATGCATTTGTCTAAAATGGCATTGCCTCCTAATACGATTTTGTTAAATCACAACGTCAGGGCTTTTACAGGTCCAACTTAGATGTGGGCTAAGAAAAGTTACTTGATAAAAGCCTTGACAGATAAGACCACTGAATTTTGTTCTGCTGACATTATGACCAAGTAATGGGCACTGGACAAATTAAGATAAACCCTTTTTAAAGACGTATAGTCAATGGGGAACATTTTGCCTATATCACTGACTTTATCTGAATTCTTCCAGTTGACTGGAGCATGCCCAGGTCCACTTATAGAATAATGGGCACTGTTCAAGTTGTAAATTTACCAAGATTAGTGAGTATTGTGTTCATATAGAAAACAGTTCCTATCTTGGGTAAAGTTACATGGATAATATGGCTATTATAATAAAAACTGCAAATTACTTCTTTGATGACAGAATGAAGGATTTTGATATAATATGAATGAGCTCAATTGGTTCAATATTCTACTTTGGCTTAATTCTATGCCCGGCTGGTCTTCCCCATAGACCAGCAGGCTCACGAACAGAAGTAATTTCCTCAGAAGGCTACCAGTCAGATTCAGGGGCACAGAGAAGTCCTGCTAACCAAAAATTAAACTCCCCATTCATTGCTGTGTTTACTGTCTTCCTTTTACTTAAGACTTAGAACCTCGAGAATCTCTTTTCTGTAACCAAATAATACAGACAAGTGAAAAGTTCTATGAGAGGACAAGGATGGACCAGCTATTTTGCTATAGCAGATCAAGAAAGACATGATAGAAGTGAACTATTCTTGATTAGGTCTTGAGAGCTAGTAAAGGTAAGGTGGTGGAAAAGTGTGCCAGGCACTCTACTTTTGTATCCTACCTCTTACATGGGGTACAGGTAGCAGAAGGGTAAAGGTGGGAAACTTTCAGCACAGAGGACAAGGTCAGAAAGAGGTCTGTTAAACAGATTTAAGATTTCTGGTTCACCAGGCAATAGTGAAGACCTGCTTGCAGTTCAAGTACTAGATTCAATAGGTACTTACTGGGTACTTTAAGTGGTAGACATGGCCAGTGATTTTTAGCATTACCAAAATTTATAATCAAAACATTGAAGTAGTTTTGTCACAAAGATTTCAATATTGGATTATTCTTTCCATTTTGAGAAAAAAAAGAAACATTCCTCCACTATTTCTAAATTCACTGTCCACTTTTTTTTTAACCTGGCATCCATTTCTATTTATGATTACATTTAAACAATTTGGAAATGGAAAATGTGATGACTATTTTATGAAAAAAAAGGAAAACTGCATATAAGGCTAATTTAAAAAAATGAGGTGAGTTATTATGCAATGCT